ATTTCTGACCAATCCATGGTACGTGTTTCTGATAGAGCCCACCCATGCTGTTACTTATGGTTTGTTATTTGCTGCTGCTACGGAGTACACAGATATTATTGCACCTCCAGGAATGTCTGCTACCTTGCAAGGTCTGGTGGGAGGATTGCATTGGAGTTTGGGTAAGCATTCTTTTTAGGCAATGTTGCCAATATTTCAGATATCACAATTAAAATCATGAAATAACTGAGTAATAAAACTTTGTTCCCGTTCCCATTTTGATCCCGTTTTGATATGAATGCCAGGTTTCAATGCTTAACTCTTAGTGAAAGGAAGGAACTCCCGTTTGGTGGAAGGGAGGAGAACCCCTCCCCCTCTTTTTACCCTGGATCCCCATTGCTCACTTTTTGCTCCATTAGTTGTTATCTACACTATTTTGTTGTAGGTACATTGTTACAGTTCACAGTTTTAGTTGACTGGTAGCTTTACTCTATTCTTTCAGGTTTTGGTATCGGTTCTTTGACAGCTGGGCAGATCTACAACAAATATGGCGGAGTTATCATGTTCCGAAGTTTTGCCATCTCTGCTATAGTTGTACTATTAATTGCATGGCCATTGGAACACTTTGTTCTACATGCACGTAAGAAGTTTGTTGTGGAGCCACAAAAACATACAGAGAAAGAAGATCCCACCCAAGTACAGCAAGGGACTAATGGTGAGATACTATGCAACCCCAGAGCCTGTACACAACTGACTAAAGATAAGATCGTTAAGAAGGTTCACACTGTGAGACACAATAAGAGCAAACTATAAACGGTTGACACACACGTAGTTTTCCTGTGCAACGTTCATCCAACATTAAGGACCCTTATCGGTTTACGTGCATTAAAGAATGTGTTCTCGCGTATATCAATAGACAAATAAGAAAGAACATTTCTTTCTTTTTTCTTTCTTTCTTTCTTTTTACTTTGAACAATCAATGCAAAGTAAAAGTTTCTTTTTATCAAATGAACTTAGTAAAAGATATTATTTCTTCGCTACTGCAGCTGTTGAGAAGAACACAGTCAACAGTGTTGACCAAGTCAGTGATGACCAGGTCTGGTGCCATTTATCTCAAGACATAGAGCGCATTCAGAAAAGCGGACTAACAGATTCTGGGATCAAATGTGACGACCCACTAAAAAGCTTGTCGGTTTATTCCCGATTAAACACTGAATAGATTCCCCGCGGTGAATACGCAACAAGCATTCAAGTGGGTCGGGCCTATTTGATCCGCGGATCTGTAAGTCCGCTGTTTTGAATGCGCTCATAGACCCCATTCCCAGAGATAAGATCGATCTACTTTAGATCGACCTAACTCCCTGGGGGTTCACGCTAGATAGCTGTCAGCCGAGCGAGCACGAAAGTTAATTACCCCCTTACAGCTTGTAGTAGGCGGGACGGACATTTAAGCCGGATTATCTGACAGTAATCTAGTGAGACTTCCCGCGGGGATAGATCGATCTAAAAGCTCTGGGAATACGCCCATAATCTTAAGTCTATATAGTACATAACGTTTGTTTAAAAACACCTTTAGTCGTAGGAACAAGTCATTTTCATGCGTTTCAAAAAAGAATTGAACATTTGACTATATAAGGGTGAAAAATAATTAACAGTCACTTTTTTCTTGATTTAGCTTTGTTAGCCAAGAGATGATAATGTGCATTATTTGTATTTTCTCTTCGAGTAAATTTGCAGTTTTTGAGCAGGGGTAGTAAATCCATCAAGGGTGGATGTAATATACCTTTCTTGAACTAAGGATAGACTATCTAAACAGAAATTGAGAAATTATAAAAAATGTATTATGCTGTCCTTCTAAGGGCGCAGTCTCATAGATTTTAGATCGATCTATCCCCGTGGGGAGTCTCACTAGATTACTGTCAGATAATCCGGCCTAAATGTCCGTCCCGCCTACTTCAAGCTGTAAGGGGATAATTAACTTTCGTGCCCGCTCGACTGACAGCTATTTAGCGTGAACCCCCAGGGAGTTAGGTCGATCTAGTTGGATCGATCTAATCTCTGGGAATGGGGTCTTAGGGTGTATTCCCAGAGATTTAGATCAAGCCAGAGATTAAGATTAAGATCGACCTAACTCCCTGGGGGCTCACGCTAAATTGCAGTCAGCAGAGCGCGCACCATAGTTAATTACCCCTTTACAGCTTTTAGTAGGCGGGACAGACGCTTAAGCCGGCTAAGCTGACAGTAATCTAGTGACACTCCCCACAGGGATAGATCGATCTAAAATCTATGGAAATGGGGTCTTAGTCTTCAAAAAGGCAAATTTTAGAATCTATACTATTCATTCATGTATTTTTATCTTATGTTTATATTCATCATTGCAGGTTAATATCATGGTAGATAAGCACCACCCCTCATCATAATCTACTTGTCCTACTAAATCCGAGGACCTCTTAGTGAGTTTGCTGCATGACGTCAGCTGCATCTTCACCTTTTCTGTGCTCTTTAATATAACTAACTGCTTTGTACTACTTAACACCTTCAGGAGTAAAAGATAACTGCTCTCTTATCTGAGCACAGGCCCCAAGCATGTCTACTTGCAATCTTGTTTGTTTAGATCTCGGGGCAGAGAAATATAGTATATACCAAAGGGAACAGTGTTTTGCTATTTTAACCTGATTGCATGATCATTGGACCATTCTTTGATTGAAAACGTAAAATTTTCGAACTTGAGAAAATAGTTTCTAAATATCTAAGAACCGGGGTTCAGACTTTTTCTTGCAATCTAATTATGAATTTTATTTGTCCAGTCATGAAGTTATACTTAGTCAACTTTTCTCTTATCAGTTGTTTAAAAACATTCCACCTTACTAGTTTTTTAGTTTTCTTGTGTACAAAGCGTACAGAATTGACACGACCCATTGTTTAAATGATATTGTTTGAAATTGAAACGGTACATGAAGGGGCAGTAAATATTTCAAAATCCAATATACTACAAAAATACAATCTAAACACTGTATAGAATAAATTTATCGGATATTATTAAATTCTATGTAAACAGCGGGCTTTCCAGAGGTTCCAAGGAAGTCCATCCCAATATTTGACGACTGACTGGGTTGACCCTGTATAAGAAATGATAATTAAAAACAATACGCTTATGCAGCATTACAACACTGAATGACAATAAATTATATAACTTTATTGCCTTTCTTGTTAAAATTATAAAAATACCATTTAATGTGAGCTTTATTAATGTGATGGTTTTTTTCCCAATAAACATATTTACACTTAATTCCTTCTTTTTACTCTTGTAGCGTATTTCCAATATTTTATTCACCCAGGTTTCATAAGGGATTAAGGTTTTCCTTTTCCTTTTCCTTGCAAAAATATATATCCAGTCTAAAATTGGATCTTTTTCCAGTACTTTAAGAGCATGCGCAGTACACCCCAAGAAAATTTTGCACATTACTTCTTTGCCATTACTTCTTGTTGCACAAAGCCTTCACCAAACTTCAAAATGTTCACTTTTAAGAATTAGAACAAGAAAAGAATAATGAAAAAGAAAAGTCAGAAAAAAAAATTGATTAAACTTGAAAACTAAACGACAAATGAAATCTCACGCATACGAGATTGAATATAAAATATGCACACACACACATGAAGCTAATCTGAATCAAACCCCGCTCCAATTAATTTTTCTAAAAATCGGGGGCGGATCCAGGATTATTTGAAGGGGGGTCTTCGGATGCGAAGCGTACCCTCCCCCTCTCTCCTCCCTTGGTGTGGGGTATGGGGTCCGCTGAAGGGACCCGAAATTTTTGGTATTTTAGAAGGCGAACGGTGCCAGCTGGTACGAATAAGAACTATGATTCAGCTAGTGCTCCTCGTTGTGGGTCAAGGGGAATTTTTAAAGACAGCTTGTAATTGTAAAAATTGATGATTATCCAACCATGCGCTTCCTACCAATGTGCTAGGTGTAGAATAAAATAAGGCACAGACTTTATACTGCCTAGACTTGTGAGGAAATTGCTTTTTTCATAAGACCATTAAATTTTTGGATTGCATCAACATGCGTTTTTATCTACTTTTTTATCTACATAACTTCTACTTTTTTTGGTTATATAAACGTTTTAGTAATGTTATAGTAACATTTTGTGCTTGCTGGGAAAAGGTTTGTATCTAGGTTCTGAATAAACTAAAGTTTGATTTGGCAACATATGTCCAGCTGTTGAAAGCATTCATTACTTCTGTTTATTTTGAGAAGGGAATATAAGTATCTTTCACGGCATTTTCGAAAATAGACTCAAAAATATCTATTCTGTGCCCTACGGCACACCTTTCTTTTATTACACGTAAGAAAAATCTTTTCCTTAGAAACCTTTCCCTCTGTTCTGTGAATGTAAAGTGTCGTTCGCAGGGCATCACTGTCTGTTGCACTCCTGACACACTGCATTGTGTGGCGGTTGAGAACAGCTGCAAGTGTGCTGTAGCAATGGATTTGTATTCTACATGTATGTTTCAAAATTGAAAAGAATTAAAACGGAAACATGCCCGTAGCTCGCATGAACCACATATTTCGCCAGGAGAAGGTCCACTCTACGTAAAATTTGATCTAGGTACACGAATAATCCATGGTTAAGGTCCCCTTTTTTCAGAAAAAAAGAACCCCCTTTGAAACTGTGGGCTACGGGGTTGGTCAATGTAGCACAGACCGTGATCTGTACTCCCCTGGAGCGCAGTTAGACCCCCATTGCAAATAACTGAAAAAATCTTAATACTCTTGTCTTTACTGGAATTCTTTGAAGGCAAAGGATGAGCAATATCTGTGATCATATTCAAATTAAAAAGGTGGACTAATACGATTATATGACCAATGCATTGTCATTTGAACTAATATTTTAGTTGCAACTAATGACTCTGTTCCCCCTTACATCAATCGCGGTATTAATTAAAAACTTGGAACCAAAGTTTCATGTATCCATTGTCATATCAAACATTTATATAAACTAATAAAAGACAATACGAAGACATAATGCAACTTTTATTCTCTCAAAAAGAGCTTTATTCAAAACGAGACCTTTTAAGAATGTTCATATATTCTTTCTTCCAAACCCAACCCATTTTTAAAGTTCATTAGGCTGCAGGAACGGCAACGCGTTGGCCGTTTGTGATACCAATGACGCAGCATCCAAGCCGTGGTCCTGCGTTACCATTAGCCAAACTGGCTGCGTTTCCTCCTCGGCCCAGGTCATCTTTACCGGTATGAAGCTTATAAACAAAAATAATATGCATGAATAAAGCGTCCTTTGTTTGTGCAACTGTATATACGATTTTCTCTCGCTGTTTGTGTGTGTGTGTGTGTGTGTGTCTGTGTGTGTGTGGTTGGTGTGAGAGAGAGAGAGAGAGAGAGAGAGAAAGAGTGAGAAAGAGAGATATAGACTTGTATATAAACAAAAGTGAAGACCAGCTCTCCAACCAGAATCAACTTTACTAAGACTTAAAGAAAATACAAATTATGATAATTTGCTTTCCTAAAGATGCAATAAAAAATAAAAATCAACATACCACAATAGCTCTTCCCACAATATTGTTTTTGCCGACAAGAGAGGCGATGCCATCAAAAAAGGATGTCACAATTTGTCCATTTTTATCCTGAGGAACGTTTCCCCAGTCACCGATGTGTCTGAAGGTAAATAAATCCAAATAAATATTTGCATAAGTAGCTGAATTAAGAATCGAATAAACAAATGACAAAGAGAAAAGGGGAGATGCGCAGAAAAACAAACAAACATGAATATTTTAAAAATTACACATGACACGGTGTTCTATCTTCAACCCCAAATAAACAAAGCAGATTCAGGATTCGGCAACCAGACACTGATGCATCCTTGGCTTTCTTTTACTAAAAACCTTTTAAAAAGACACCAACGCAAAGAAACTGCAATGTTGGTAATCTCAATAATTGACGTAACAGTTCGTATTTTATATCCCAAAAGTTTAAGAAAAAATATGAATAAGTTTACGGACAGCTTACCGCACGACGTCTGTTGGTGCACCATGGGTGACACCTGTAGGATTATAGTGACCTTTAGTTGACCCACATCCTCCACTAAGGTCACCAAAAGCATGCACGTGCAAGCCATGCTCCTGACTGCCATCTAGCGGCAAACCGCTGATATTGACACGGACCTCCAGAACCCCTTGCTTTAAAAAGAAGTGTTGTGATTATATATATGTACTGTTATATAAAAGACATTTATTAATTCATCAAAATTTAACGTTGAATAAACAAACAAGCATTGCTGGTGGTTTTAAATTCTGTGAAAGGACCCTCCTCAGCAAATAACGCATGAAGTCGAGCATTTATTTTTTATAATGCTATTCTTAACATTAAAAAGGGCCGTTTTTTATTTTGGTCTTATGTACGTGAGTTAATTTTATGTGGCAAGACATCCTGTGTCTTTTTTAAATACATGTAGTTATTAATGTTCTTGCTTACCATGAGCATTTTACACGAAATGGACGTGCGGTGAATGATGGCAAATTAAGAAGAACTACGAGGCGTAAAAACTCGCTTCAAGCTAAGTCTAAGCAGGGTGTTATGAGTAAGACAGACAAGTGTCATGTGCAATGACAACTGTACTTCGTTTCATTCCTTTCCTTCTTCCTTCTTTCCTTTTTAATTTAATTTTATTCTATTCATTTATTTATTTATTTTTGTGTGTGCCAAATCCTGTGCACGGTCTTTTTAATTTAAAAATAATGAATGAAATCGTTACCCTCTGAATCATGTCAATATTGCCGTGAACGTTCACCCTGTCTGGCTCGGGGGTTCCCATGTTAGGTTTGAGGGCGCAGTGAGCAAATACGCCTTGCATTGCCAGACTCTCTATGCGGGACTCGGTCTTTGGGACACCTGTCACGATGTGGAATAATGAAAAATTAGGAGAAAATACGAGACGAGAAAAACACTGACATAAACTAAAACAATTCAGTTATCAGACAATTTCACATTTTTATATTAAAAAAAAAAACCAAGTAAATTGCCAAACGGCGCGTTACTAAGAAACAGATGTTAAAAGTGTTTCATCGATGTTGCTTACTTTCAAACTTAGGCGGGCGGCAGATGTACCCGTGGTAAGCGTGTGGGCAACATTTCCAGTCTCCGGGGCACAGGTGATCCTGGTTACAGAGCCTGGACCTCACTCTATAGAACGGAGCCGTGGAGCATTCCCCTGGCTTGTCAGCCAACGGAAAAACTGTAAAATAATAGCGGTTTACGTTTAAGGTCATTGTGAAAGACTGGGAACATATATTGAAGCGCACTCTCTCTCTCTCTCTCTCTCTCTCTCTCGCTCTCTCTCTATTTATTTATTTTGCTTTTCAGCTCCTTTTCTATTATGTATAATTAAATAAAATGAACGTAACATAAATAAGTTTTTTTCAATAAAATCGGGTGGTGCACTTTTGTTTCATGTCCTCCTATATGGCACGTCCGTGCCTGGCGGAGAACTTTATTAGAAGATGGACATGTTTATCGTCATTAGTATTCAAAGCACAGTTGGTCATCGGATTGATGTTTCTGATTATCTTCATCGGGAGGTTAAAATTTCGTTAGTAATTTTTGTCGTCTCAGGCCTCGCAGAATTCCTTTCAGCGTCGTAGTCACCTTCGGTTATTTTTTAGTTTGTACACATGGTTAAGTATTTTTTTTTTTTTTTGTTTTAAATTAAAGTATTTAAAGCATTAAGAGAGAGGATCAAATAAACTAGGGTTGTCGACCGCATTAGTTACCGAACCGATGATTTCTACCATCTTTAGGAATAGAAAGATAAAGACTGATCCAGAATTAAGATATAGGCCAAGCGTTCCGTAAGCAATTTAATGCAAACCGTGCCCCTAGTCTAAAATGTATCACGCGTTTTGTCAATAAATTATCCACAAAACCATCGTTATGTGCGGGACGAGATAGGAGCACGAAATCATCTTTACGCATGTCTGTGAACACTTGGCGTGAGGGGATCACAGTCAGGGGTCAAGGAGTGAACATGATGTAAGTGATTTAGTATATTTAAGGCCAACCTACCACGACACTGCTGCATCATCCTATAAAATCTACAACTCGTATGGTATACTGTATACATATACTGTATACGGTTTAACCAGTTAGACAACTTTTTTTTCATATCAGTTGGATTACATTGTTTTAAATATTTCGTTATTGAATCAAAGTACTGTATGAATTGGTTTTTATGCATTCTTTTTGTCTGAGAACAGGCTGAATACCTATATACAAGATTTTCACATCTGTTTAACCTGTGGAAATTTGTTTGAAATTTGTTAATGAACGTACTTAGTACTTTGCTCAATTTCTTTTTCATAGAAGCCCGCAATATATCGGGTTATCGCTACTTTTTTTAAGACGGGTAATAATTGGTTTAAACATGCACCGCAAACAACAGACCTTTCTTAACTCATTTCTGTTTTGGTTTGAAAGGGAGATTACCGCCTGGTTTAAAAAAAACCTATCATTTCTCCTTATTTGCAGACGTTATATGGGGAATTAGGTGTCCTTTTGAAGACACGATTTTCCAGGACCAAGTACCATCCACATTACATCAGAAAATGACGGACGCAAGCGTCTCCATACAGGCAGGGAAGCATAATGGATTTCAGGGGGTTCGAAAGAACGGGCAATATGGTTGGACAGGCCGCAACCAAGGTTCTATGTCATATTCCAACTAAGGAGTAAAAAGTCCTATTTTCAGGCAAAAGACTCACTTTAAATTGGCGGGAAGAGGCCTGTCATAAAAATGGATATCCAATTGTCAATCCACCAGTTAAGACCAGTCCTCTGTTTAAGGCAGTGTGATTCGTTCGCCCATAACCTCAGCAAAATACATTTAAGTAATGGTCGTTTCACAAGCAGAAAGATGAGATATGGCAATTACGTGTTTTTGCACTAGTCACGCTTTCAAGTGATCAATGATAAAAAAAGACAAAGATAATGGTTAGAAAAACCTATTCTGTTTTAACTCAGAGTGAAATTGAGACTATTCAAACGATGGTAATGACAACATTAACGTTAACTTTATTAAGTTGACGCCCCCGTAATTGTACCTTGGTTTCAGATGATAGATAAAATTGGAATGATTGTCGTATAATGTAATTTTGACCAGCAAAAGAGTGATTTCAAGCACCCTATTAAAGCTGAAATAAAGATATGGAATATCATTTAAAATCTAATCTATCCCACCATGCCACAAAAATATCCCCGTTCACCTTTTATTTAACCATAAGTCTTTTTACTTTTATATCATGTATGATTTGGGCGTTGATTGTTTGTCCGCGTGACAATGCACAGTTCAGCAAAGAAAATTGATGAACGATCTTCCTTAGTGTGGTTTCTTCGCGTGACCAGTCACGGCATTCAGTACTACCCTTAGCTTAATAAACAATTACATTGCTAGGAATTTCTATAATGCATATCAAACAGATAGCCTCCCTGTGCTGAATGAATTGAACAAAATAAAAATTAACTAATCTAATAGTGTGTAGTCACAAACAGATCTACCGGTACTTTCCATTTATCTATGCAAAGATGCATTCGAACAGCTAGTAACAAGGTTGTTCTTGCAAAGGAAAGAAGCAAAATATTTTGTACAGATGCTTGCACCTTATGTGCCGAAGTCCAATATCATTTATCTTATATAAAGAAGTGTCCATCCAGCTAGATTAAAGACTCTTAACGGTCCGAATACTGGCTGACGTACGTTATCATCTTGATACCGTCATCTTCAAGATCTAACAAACAAAACTTTTTTTTATGACATATCTCATTGTGCCACAACAAATTTATTTTGCCACAATACTCAGCTTCTATTTGGCATATTTAATAATCATTAACACCAAAACGAAATGAAACATGAAGCCATTTTTAACCGTTTGAATGATCTAGCTTCCGTTGTATTTTAACTTTTGCTTAACAATAATCGACATTCAATCGGCAGACATTTCTCTCTTCGTCATTTGGCAAAGCAACAACACCTTAAGGCGTTTTGGGCTAAATTTGTGAAATCGCAAACCTTTCTTTTACGTAACACATAATAGGCCCTATGTCGCGTAAGACGTAACAGATTTTCTTCAAATACTGAATAATTGATCTTTTTGTAGCAAGTGCTCACAACTTACATCGAAAGTATCTGGAAGCAGACGAAAATAGTGGAAAGTAGGTCCCGTGCACGCTCCATCCACAGCCGAACACCAAAACCAACAAGAGTGGGACAATCCCGCTGCTTGCCATACTCGTCACCTAGAGTTAAAACTTGGACCAGATCGTCTTGCAGAGTGTATCGCTCCCTATCGGTGGGACTGTTTTTATAGTAGGCGCGTTACGTTTGGTGTGCATTTGATTGATAGCCTAATAACAGTAATATCATAGCTGTCTAGTTATCAGATTTTGTGCTCAACGACATATCCTAGATAGGGTTTAGATACTTGTCTATTGGTCAGATTGGTGAAACTGAGGTGTTATGGTTGGTCTAACAAAGAATAGGCCCTATAGCAACGCCAAGTAACGGGTGAAGTAACTGTTTGTTGTAGGCCTATCTATCCCAAAAAGACATAAAACGGATTTGTAGTCCTATTTGTTGACCTCCTCGTTGGACAGTTACGTTGCAACATATCTAATCCGTATGCCAGGCGTTGAAGTACAAACCACGAAACGTATTGTAGGCCTATACAATAACGTGTTAGAACAAAGTTTTAGAAGAACTTTTTATACAGTAGATCTGTTGGATCCTGGATGTTGAGGGAGGGGGGGGGGGCAAGGATGATTTTTTTTTCGAGCAAAAGGAGGCATAAATAAAGTAGTTGATGGTTACTGTTTCACTATAGTATGTAGGGCTGAGGAATGGAAAGATACTGTTTTTGCCTTTTTTGAGATGCTTCGAAGAAGGCAAAAGGACAGGAAAAGTTAGCAGTCTAATTTCGATTGGGCGTCTGCGCCCCCCCCCCTTCCCCCCTCCCCAAAAACCTGAACTAGTACCCCTGCTGGTCATCTGTCAGATTATCTGCTATACAGGGTACTCTGCTTGAACAAACGGCATATAGGCCTATATAACATGTGAGCCCGGCATTAAAGTTACGTAAATTTGTTTAAGTTCTTCCTGCCATTGGGATTGAACAGCACTTCAAGGAATTTATCTATGAAACTTTACATTAGGCTTATTAGGCCATCGCTTAATATTTAAAAAGACATAGGGCCTACATGTAGCTTGTATTTTTACCCACAATACAAATGCTAATATTTCAGCAGCCTGTGCAAGTAATTTTACTCACTAGAAAACAGAAGAGTGTCCTTAAAGATGCATACAAAGTCGATTTTTTGTCACAAAAACCAACCAAATGCCAGCATATAGTTTCAAGTAGTATAACTAAGAGAATTATCAAAAGGCATTGTTTAATTTTACCCGAAAATGATGTTTGAACGGATTTTTCTGCTGGCATTCTAAGCTGTATGTCAATGGGGCAGGAAAGTAGGTCAAGAAAGTAGGTTAAATTTACAACCAAAAATTTAAAGAAAGGAGCAGTCTAAAGGTCTTTTATGGCTGATCGAGTGATCTATTCAGTTAATCCCTTGGCATGTCGAATTTATTTGAGCCATATAAGAATCTAGTTGAAGTGGTTTACATGTGTTACTGGGAATCCATGCTCCACCGATGCCCGGTTCGTATGTACCTTTAAGCTACTGGAAAGAAAGTTCAAATGTATAAAAAAATCCATAAACAAGGCTACTTCATTTGACAACTAGGCCTACTATTATTTATATATTTGCTGACTTAGTTCATGTTGTCACGCATAGCTCACCTTGGCGTACTTAGCCTTTCAGAGAGAAAATAGCAAGAGAAGAATATGCATACTGCTTTTCATTGAAAAAAAAATGCCGTTTTTCATTGAAAAAAATGTGAACTGGCTCTTAAGAATAAAAAAAGGAAAAATCGTAAAATTGAAACGTCATATGCATATGTGCGGATTTCCATTCAGGGGAAAAAATAATGTTCGAAAGTTCTATATGGTGCCAACATTATTTTGTTATTATACATCCACGTGGAGACAAGCTGTTTTTGTATTCCCGGCTTGTTTTATTCAACACCTTGAAAGGAACAGCTGAATATTGATGTGGTGAGGGGTGGGATAATGAATTTGAAGGTCCACACATTTACTGCATCTTTTAATATCTCTTCATGTAAAGCGCATTGATTTTAAAGATTACCGTCTATGAGATTTGTTCGTTTATTAAAGGTGTATCTCAAGGACGTATTTTGGACGTAGGCCTACATGTGTATCGCAGTACGGGTCGACGTATGATGCGTGAGGAGGAGTTTTTTAAAATATAGAATAACTATTTGTGAATGAGTGAATGAATGGATGAATAAATGTGTTTATTAATCAGAGCCTTTAAAAATAAGGTACAATCACCATAGACATACACAACATAAACATCTACCTACAGAGGCGGATCGAGGATTATTTGAAAGGGGGGTTCGGGGCCCGCTGAAGGGTCCCGAAAATATTTGGTATTTAAGAGGGCGAACGGTGCCATGTGGTACAGTTAAGAACTAACCTCTTAGCTTCTTGATCCCCAAAAAGAAAAAGAAAAGAAGAAAGAGAAACAGTATAGCGATTATAAAAGGAGGCAAAGCCCAACAATTTTCCAACGCTGAGAGCTACACATTGTACAGTAAAGTTATAATCGCGGCCAATGTTTTATATTTGCCAAGCGAGAGGAAGTATACCTTTTTAAGTCTTGTACACCCTAAAGCAATATCCCAGCTGGCTCTGCACGTGCAGATGTTTTACAGTGGCTTTTCTTGTTCATGTTGCTTCTAGATAGTGACAGCACCTTTAGCGTCTTAAAGGAGCATCCCTATTAAACTACGATAAAACTTGTAGTAAATAAATGGTTCTGATATTTGTATCTGGGAGAGTTTATTGAAAATTATAACAGAAAAAATTAGTTGTGACGTACGCAAACTTTTAGCAGGAAAGCTACTTTGTGTTTAGGAACTGGTGTAGCAGCTAATCCGAAGTGTTTCTATTTAAATCAAAAGCAGATCTATTTGTTTTCCTTTTTCCGTTTGGCCTCACTTCACGTGGTTGTTGTTTTACCGGTATGCTACGAGCCTTGACACGCGTTGTTTTTCCTTCATGGCACTAGCATTTCATTCATAGATAAGAATGATTTTCAGAAAAAAAACTGGCCTTTTCGCAGCTGTAGAAAAAAATTCAATTTGCATTTTTTTTTTTTTTTTTTTTTGGCACAATGTGTAGTTTTCGGGATTTTTTTTATGCAACGTTAGGTTCCGAAAAGGATGTGACGGTCACGAAATGTTCAAAAATGAACGAGTTGTTTTAAAGAGCCGACAATAAACAAATAATTATTATTATTTCTGAAGTAACAACTTCAATGAATTGCTAAGATACTAAAGTAATAGTGTAGCCAGATGAAACATTATACAATAGACCCAGAAGTCCTACAGCACACTTCTAACAGCTGCAATTTGTGACTTCGTATTAAAGTAATACATGTGTGCCAAGAACAAATTGCCCTCTGTCATACTTACCCTGGGCTTGAACTTTCAGCTCCAGTGATGTAACGGTAAGAACAAGGCAGATCCATATGAGATTCTCCATTTCACATCAATTCTGTCCAGACGCATTAAACCGATGCCAGATTCTGATAGTGCCAACAGTGCTGAAGCACGTGACTTGAACTCGGGGCAACGCACACGCGTGACTTGAACTCAGAGTTAAGAACACGCGTGACTTGAACTCAAAGCTATGAATTGTCAAGAAGAAATCTACATGCTCCTGGTATTAGTATCAGCGGTTGACTCTGCTACACCAGTAAGGCCTGCATACTGTCAGGAACCACAGTATAGAAGAAAGTGTAATTATTACTTTTAAAACTTACGTAAATGTCAGACTGTCAGAAAATATCTCTGAATCCGTCCCTGTCATGATGTATTAACTCAATCGGAGGAAGCCATTGTTTCATAAAATTCATACATAGGAAGCCATGTTGTATAGTATCTCCAGATAATACTTCACACCTTGCAGTTCAAATTTTAATGTCCTTTGTTTCGAAGCCAGTAATCTGTTGGAGCTTGATTACAGGGAGTTATTAACGGTCCTCTCCATGAGGGGGTGGACTTGTGTATGAAATAACCAATCAGTTTTTAAGTTATGTGATGGACAGTTTAGTAGATAAAGTTTAGTATAAAAAAATCCGTACACTTAAATCTAGAGAGGGATGAATATGCAGGAAGAAGAGTAATATGAGATGTGAGACTGGATAGGAGAGAGCAATATGTAGAAAGAGGAAGAGAGAGAGATTATACTTGTATCATGTAACTTTTAGTGTAGCAAAGTATATTTTGTTGAAGTTACAGCATGGAGTCGTTTCATTCTTTTCCGTGTGCAGAATTTAAGGCAAGGAACCTGGGAATCTCTGTAGCAGTATATATTGGAGATAGCGTTATCCAAAGATGTGAACCCATTGAGCTCAACCCCTAGGGTTTTATCATTATAGGGTAAATTTATGTAACGTGGGGCCCCGGGATGGTCTTAAGGTGGGTCCCCACAATGCAGTGGAAGCGTTTGTTGGTTAGGCTTATAAATCAAATCGGATCGCCCTTAATTTTTTATCTCCCATAGTCCTCATCTCCCATGTATGTTTGTTCATTTCATCTCTGTATTTATTTATTTATTATCTTTTGATTTATTTTGCTGACAATACTACTGAAAAACACTTACAACACAAACATGTAAACTCAGGCCTGCTTTTTACAAAACGTATCAAAAGCATAAACTCACCGAATTTTCAGGCTTTTAAGCTTTTGGATTTAGGAACCTATGCTTATACTGAGAAACATGAAAGCGATGTAATATGAATTTTTTAATTGATTTAAAAAAGATTAAAACTGATTCTTGAACAACTGCATCTAACACGCAGCTCTTCTTATTTTCCGTGTCATATACTACTTTTGTGGTCGTGATAGATTTTCATACAAGTATTATCTATTACTGCTGTCGGTGTTTTTTTTTTAAATACCGAGTTGCTACATTAACACACAATACCTATGGGACATGTCGTTGCAATGGCGGTTAAATAAATGACGAGGTGAATGCGTTTTAATATACAGGCACTGTGTGTGTCTTTATACGTATTTTGATCGATGTGTCTGTCCGTACCGTCGTCGGTGCCCTCTGTTATTAACCTTAAAACTACCAAAACATATTTGTGCTTTATTTTAGATTCTAAAAAATTGGCATGCTTCATTTGTCTTGCAAAGTTAGTTTTTTTTTTTTTTTTTTTTTTTTTTTTTGCGTTTATGCCAAAGGTCGCCTAATTGCTAAACTGCATTTTTATTTTACTTCAAAAATTGCTATGTGCCTTTGTTTTGTAAGAGGCAAGCCCTTTCGAAAATTAGCATGACCGGATTATTTTTTCAAAAAGTTATTGGTTTTTTTCATATAATTTGGTGACGTCCTCTTCGTTTGAATGCCAAACCTTATTTCATTTTGAGCTAAAATTTGCTGAGTAGCTTTGTATGGCATTCGGCTTATTTTTAAGCTTTTGTTTACTGAAATGTACCTGTTTGTGTTAAATGGAGCAATGGGAATAATTTTTTTTGTTAAGTATCTGTAATTTGCGAGCTATCTGTCTAGATTACTTTGTTACGAGTAGTTAAAGAAATGTTTTTTTTTTTTTTTTTTTTTTTTTTTTTTTTTT